ACGCTCCTGCACATACTGGAAAAAAGAAAAAGAAATAATTACATTAAAGGTGAAGGAGAACATATCATTTAAGGAAGCACGGCGAAGAGTCGCTCCATTCTATGGACCTACATAGCCCCGCCGCGGTGGTCTAGTGGCTAAGGCACTCGGCTGCTGACCCGCAGGGCGCGGGTTTGAATCCCGGCTGCGGCGGCTGCATTTCCGATGGAGGCGGAATTGTTAAAGGCCCGTGTGCTCAGATTTGGGTGCACGTTAAAGAATCCCAGGTGGTCTAAATTTCCGGAGCCCTCCACTACGGCGTCTCTCATAATCATATAGTGGTTTTGGGACGTTAAACCCTACATATCAATCAATTATGGACCTACATACGCTGATGCGGCGCGTCAGGGGGCACCGCCGCACCAGCCTCCGCCACTCCTTCGGCCCGCGCATACCGAGCCGGCGGTTGTGGCACCTGCCCCCAAGGCGGCTGTAGCCCAGGCTACACCGCCTACTCCGAAACAGAGACCGGAGACTCCAGAGTTCTCGGGTCTCAAGGCCTCCCATCACCAGGCGAGGCCCGAAATCCGAGTTAATAGCCCGCATGTGCGGGCATCTAGTGCCTCTGAGGAGGCAATGGATACGTCGGTACCCTTGGTGCCGAAAGAGCGGCGTGGCTCCTTGGAGCGCGCCAAGAAAACAAAAAAGCAAATAACAGGGCCTGGTGACAGCCCTGTTAAGTGAACTCAAATTCCCCGTCTAAACAGCCACTCGCTTTTCGTACACACAGCACTATTTTACATTCACCATGAACACTCAAATTATACAATGGAACGTCAGGGGCCTTCTCAGAAAGCTTGACGACATCCAAGAACTCTTACACGAACACTCACCAAAAGTGCTGTGTGTACAAGAAACACACCTTAATTCAAAACACACAAATTTTCTTCGTAGATACGTTATTTTTCGAAAGGACCGTGATGATGCCATGACATCATCCGGAGGTGTTGCCATCATAGCGAATCAAGGAATTGCATGCACACACTTACAACTCCAAACATATCTTGAGGCAGTGGCTGTTCGAGCGGTTATTTTTGATAAACTGATCACAATCTGCACTATTTACATTCCTCCTAGCTATCAGGTGCAAAAACGTGATTTACACTCTTTAATTGATGAACTTCCGGAGCCTTATGTTCTCCTTGGAGACTTCAATGTGCATAGCAGGATAGGGGGAGACTCTCTTTGCGACGCGCGAGGTCAACTGATTGAACAGTTCCTTCTCTCCTCGAGCGCATGTCTCCTAAATAGAAAAGAACCAACCTATTATAATCTCGCACATAACACCTACTCCTCCATAGACCTAAGCATAGTATCTCCATCTCTTGTGCCTCTACTCCAGTGGAAAGTCGTCAGTAATCTGTACGGAAGTGACCACTTCCCCGTAGTTTTGAGCACAACTACAGCCACTGAGTGTCCACCCAGTGTTCCCAAATGGCTGATAAACAGAGCCGACTGGGAACAGTTTTATACCATCGCTCGTATAGATTGGAGTGACATATGTACTTTAAGCATTGATGTTGCTGTCGACTACTTCACAGCTTTTTTTATTGATGCTGCAACAAAATGCATCCTACAAACCAATGGACACCCAGGAAAACGGCGTGTGCCATGGTGGAACTCTGAATGCCGAAACGCGCGCAAACAGCAAAACAGAGCTTGGAGGGTGCTTCGGAACTCACCGACAGCCGAAAATCTTGACACCTTCAAGAAAATAAAGTCTCAAGGCAGGAGAACGCGTCGGCAGGCCAGAAGAGAAAGCTGGCAGAAGTTTTTGTCAGGGATCAATTCATACACACAGGAGGCTAAAGTCTGGAACATGGTCGGTAGGATAGCACGAAAGCAAGTACACACACTTCCACTCGCAAACACTCAGGGTGATACCTTAAAAGATCAGGCAAACTTCCTCGGTGCACACTTCGAACAGGTGTCCCGCTCATCCCACTATACTGACACTATCCAAACACACAAATGGACTAGATACGAGGCATATAACCAAGCTTTCAGTCTAGCTTAGCTCCAAACGTCTCTAAACTCCTGCAGTACTTCTGCCCCAGGTTCTGACTGTGTGGTGTATGAAATGTTAAAAAACTACCAATCGAAACACGAAAAACCTTACTTTGTTTGTACAATGCTATCTGGTTTTCTGGCACTATTCCTACCTCCTGGAAAAAAGCTATTATTATTCCCATTTTGAAAGAAGGCAAGGACCCTTCTTTAGCTTCGAGTTATAGGCCTATTGCACTTACAAGCTGCTTGTGCAAAGTCTTCGAAAAAATGATAAACTGCCGACTTGTACATTTTCTTGAAACAAACAATTTGCTCGACCCATTTCAGTGCGGGTTTCGAGAAAGTAAATCCACCACAGACCACCTTGTTCGTATCGAGGTACAGATCAGAGACGCATTCGTCCATAAACAATATTTTCTCTCTGTGTTCCTCGATATCAAAAAGGCTTATGATACAACATGGCGTTTTGGAATTCTAAGGACCTGTCCCACCTTGGCGTGCGCGGAAGAATGTTTCACATAATCAAAAGTTAGCTCTCAAACCGGACATTCCGTGTCCGAGTGGGCACGGTTCTTTCCCAAACATTTGTCCAGAAAACAGGTGTGCCACAAGGTGGTGTACTTAGCTGCACACTTTTTCTCATAAAAATAAATTCCTTGCGCTTGACCATCCCTCGCAATATGTTTTATTGTACATATGCCGATGACGTCCAGCTTGGCTTTAGGTCTTGCAATCTGGCAATGTGTTAGCGGCAGGTTCAGTTAAGTTCAAACAAGGTCTCCAAATGAACCGAGGAAAACGGATTCCGACTGAACCCACAAAAAAGCACGTGTGTCTTGTTCTCCCGAAAGAGAGGCATGCCCTCAGAACCCGACATTGAACTTAACGGTGAACGTTTGTCTGTTAATGCGGAGCATAAATTCTTAGGATTAATATTGGACAACAAGTTGACCTTCGTACCGCACATCAAGTATTTAAAAACAAAATGTTTAAAAGCCATGAATGTTTTAAAAGTGTTGTCACATACTACGTGGGGTAGTGACAGGCAATGTCTCATGAACCTGTATAGAAGCCTCATTCGCACCCGCTTAGACTATGGGGCCGTTGTTTATCAGTCTGCGACTCAAAGTGCTCTGAAGATGCTGGACCCCGTGCACCATTTGGGCATCCGCCTTTCTACGGGTGCTTTTCGCACCAGCCCCGTAGAAAGCCTTTACGTTGAGTCAAATGAGTGGTCGCTTCATCTGCAGAGAACTTACATGTCCTTTGTTTATTTTCTTAAGGTGAAAGCAGACAAGAAGCACCCGTTATACTCTACTATTATTGATTTGTCGAGCTTCATTCTGTTTCAAAACAGGCCTTCGATGAGGCAGCCCTTCTCAGTTCACCTGAAGGGTCTAGCTGAGGACACTGGAGTGTCACTTGAACACAGCCTAATGGCTCCTGTAGCATACCCGCCACCGTGGCAATGGCAGACTATAGACTGTGATGTGTCTTTTCTAGAAGTTACAAAACATGCGCCTATTGCCCATATCCGAACATACTTCCTGGAACTTCAACACAAATACACACATCCTGAGTTCTTTACAGATGCCTCCAAGTCTAACTCCTCTGTGTCCTACGCTGCTGTCGGCCCATCCTTTTCGGATGCTGGCCCTCTACATCCAGACACAAGTATCTTCACAGCGGAAGCTTATGCGATACTTGTGGCAGCTAAACACATCAAGCAATCACAAATACAAAATGCAGTAATTTATACGGACTCCCTCAGTGTGGTAACGGCTCTGCACAGTCTTAAAAAACACAAAAACCCAGTCCTTATCTCGCTTTACTCTATTTTGTGCACTTTCTACACACTCAAACATGTTGTAGTGTGCTGGGTGCCAGGGCACCGTGAGATTCAAGGCAACGTGAGGGCGGATAGCTCGCTGCATCCGTCCACAAAAGCACTGCCCCTACACCCATATCAATCCCGGCCCTTGATCTCGGCTCAAGGGCCGGGATATCAATCCCGGCCCTTGAGCCGTCACCCAATTGAAACCTCAGGGTATACTGGCAGAGCAAGTGGGATATACACACACAAAACAAACTACACGTTATTAAACCACACCTTGGTCATTGGCTGCCCGTATCGAAATCGCGTCATACAGAGGTAATACTAACGAGACTGAGGATAGGACACACATACACGACACACACATATCTTTTGTCCGGTGGCGATCCACCATTGTGCGACAGATGTGGTGAAGCATTAACAGTCCTTCACATGTTAATCCAGTGCAAACACTTAGAAACTCTAAGAAAACAACATTTTCCATTACCCTACCGACAACATATACCTTTACACCCTGCAATGTTCGTCGGTAGGGAACCGCTTTTTAGTCATAAATTATTGTTAGCGTTTTTAAAAGAAATTCATAGTTTTCATATCATATACCCGGGCATTCCGTAGTACAACCTCTCCAGAGAGGTTTTTGCTGCGGTGGCTACGCAAGAAAGCACTTGCCTCACGGCCCTTGGACGCAAGGGTACGAACGAGCGAGGCACTTGTGCTAATGCCATACATGTCCACCATCGTTTTTCATTATCACCAACTTTTGTCACCCATTCACACCACACACACCTTTCACGGCATGGTCATGATTTTATTACTTGTATGTTTTCACCCGCCTTATTGCGAGGAATTTTATGGCCCTTATACAGCCGCTAATCACAATCATTGTCCACATTCCTTGTCCCATGAACTGGCGCTCTTTTGGCCATCGAATGGCCCTTGCGCCAAAAAACAAAAAGAAGAGATGTTACATCTGCATCCAAATTTACTCTCATTTGTTCAGCGAACAGGAAGCGCGGGAGGAATACACAGAAGAAGCTGAACAATTATGAATTATCACCTAGCCCACCTTTCTAATCTGTTACTCTCATTTGGCGCATTGTTGGTCTTTCCGCAGGCACGCGTTGCTGGCGTGGTGGGCCCAATGTCACTTGGCTAGTGTCCCGAGGGCGCTGTGTGGCTTCCGCAACGACCGCGGAAAGCTAGTCGGCATTGAAGATATTGACGTCAAGAGCATGCCAGAAATGGCTGGGGTAAGTTTTGTTTTTTAGATGCCAAGCAGCTCTTAGGTTCACGTGTGTAACGCCGTTTATACGCGCGTCCGTACGAACGTTTAGCAACGCGTTTCCCTCACCGCAGGTGTTGGAATGGTGCCAGTAGGCAAACTTCAGGTGCGTGCGGACATCACCTGCTTCCGCGCCCACAGCACGCTTCCCGCAGCACGCGTGGCTGCCAGCTCATCTGCCCGCTCGCAACAGACTTCCCTCTCGCTTCACCCTTTCCACCTTCTACAACGCTCTACCACAAATTGATTGAAGACACTCTTTCAGCTCGTTTATATGGGATGAAATTTGCCCACAATAATGCTCGCAAAGACAGTCACTCAGCAATGCCCTAGACGAACTGGACAACCAGTCTCTTTCGGAGAGAAAAAAAAATGACAGATCCCACGTGCGGTGGGAATCGATGATACGCGAAGCACGAATGAGAAAGGTTGATATGTCACTTGAAAATCAGCACAACTATATGATGAGGAGGTAAATGATGCCGTACACGACTTCCGTGTCAAGATTATCATGTTTCGATGTGTTGTTTACCTTCGTTCTATTCATGTCACGTGATACCAAATTCAGTATATGAAGAGCTAGCGAAACCACCGTGAGCACGCTTTGAGCGTGGTATGTTGTCATGTTCCTACATGGCACGCTTGTCAGGATTATGTTTGCATCGGTCATATACTTTCGTCATTCATTGACGTCACGTAGCACCAAATTGGATATATGTGGAGCAAGCAAAACGGCCGCGAGCCCATCGTGAAAGGTCCAATATACTCCCATGTATTGTTGACGCACGCACACAGCGACGCTACGTTAGCAAAACGTGAGCACTCTATAGCCTGACGCTAGGCGCGACCAGCGTCCGTCGGCGCTGCCCGAACGGCAAGTGGCGCGAAATGCGACATGCGGCATTTCCCGCCGATGCGTTACCCCTACAACACTGCATCCCCCTCTTCTCGTAACGAAGGGACGCCGGACGTGCTGAAACACGCATGCGTCAAAGCAAGGCAGCACGGCGCGTGCCTTCGAGTATATGGCAGGGCTGGTGCCTGGCGTGGCAACGCCGACGTGACCGGACTAAATGAATGCCGGTGAGCACGCGCACCGGGTCACGTCGAAATTTATATTCGCCTTGACTGTGGCACGTAGTCACGTTCTCACATGACACGCATCTCATGATTATTATGTTTGCACCAGTCACGTACCTTCGTCATCCATTGACGTCACGTAATACCAAATTTGGCACATGTAAAGCTAGCGAAACGGCCGCGAGCGCATCATGAGCGTAGCATGTGGTCATGTTGCTACATGACACGCATCTCATGATTATCATGTTTGCACCGGTCAGATACCTTCGTCATCCATTCATGTACCGTAATACAAAATTTGATATATGTGACACTAGCGAAACACCCACGAGCGCTTCATGAGCTTGGTATATGATCTTGTTGTTTCATGACACGCTTGTAATGATTTTAAATGCGAAGCAATTCTTTGCGAGCTTTGGTGACTTTGAGCGTATCTATCTATCTATCTATCTATCTATCTATCTATCTATCTATCTATCTATCTATCTATCTATCTATCTATCTATCTATCTATCTATCTATCTATCTATCTATCTATCTATCTATCTATCTATCTATCTATCTATCTATCTATCTATCTATCTATCTATCTATCTATCTATCTATCTATCTATCTATCATCTATCATCTATCTATCATCTGTCTGTCTGTCTGTCTGTCTGTCTGTCTGTCTGTCTGTGACATTTAGCTCTCCTGGCCGTTTGGATAATAGTATCGATACCAAACTTGGTATGGCATAGCATGACTGTGCGACGAGCATATTCGACTAGTCATAACATGAAAATCATGATATGTATGTCATGAATGTCATGATTTACATTTCATGGTTTTGCAGCTCTTGCGGTGGTTGTGTTCACATGGCATGTTGCAAAGCTGGTATAGTATGACATGATTGCATAGCGAGCACAAGCAACAGACCCTAGCTTGAAAATAATTACTTACGCGTCATGTAGCATTCTGACTCCATGCCACGCTAATGATGCGCTCACGGCCGTTTCGCTAGCGTTAATTATACCAAATTTGGTATTACGAGACGTGAATGGATGACGAAGGTATGATACTGGTGCAAACAAGATAAACTTGAGGTGCGTGTCATGCGACAACATGACTACACGACACAGTCAAGGAGGAATAAACTTTATTTTGTATCCGGCATGTTAGTGGGCTGGGCTCCCGCCTAGGTGTAGGCTAGAAGGTCTTGCCTCCTAGCGGCTTCCTCGGCCCAGTGGATTGCCCACAGCTGATCGTCCAGGGCTGAACGGAGCAGCACAGCCAGCCAACGCGCGCGGAGGCTTTCGGTGGAGGTTGCGTTCTCATTACTGTGTTCATTTATTCCGTGGCATTCCTATAGTATATGTTCTAAGGAAGCTCGTGCCTGACAATCTTTGCATTGAGCGGTCGCGTAGATTTCTGGATGCATAGCATGTAGTAGCACTGGATTTCTGTAGGATCTTGTTTGTAATTGTCACAATTGGATATACTGTGCCCTGTCAAGTTTATGATGAGGAGGGGGTAAACACGCCTCTGTGATTTATAATGTTTCGTAATTTCGTTGGATTGGATAAACTTTTATTTGGTCCTCCAAAACACAGATCACTGTGTTGCGGGCAGCTCCCACGTGGGGACTGAGATGCCAAGCTCCTCAGCCGCCTCGCGGGCTTGGTGGACAGCCCAGAGCTGGTCTGCCAAGGATGAGCTGCGGATTGCCGCCTCCCATCTGGCAGAGGTGATGTTCGATGTATGAGCAAATTTGGTGCACTGCCAGAGCATGTGTTCTAACGAAGCTATTTCCCCACAATGTTGACAAAGATTACTTGGGTATAGGTCAGGGTACATGATGTGTAACATTTTCAAAGTAGGGTACATCCGCGTTTGCAAAAACCTTAATGTAACGGCTTGGGGCCGGGTTAGATTTTTGTGAGGTGGAGGAATAATCTTTCTAGACAGGTAGAAATGTTTAGTGAGCTCGTTATATGTTGTAATAATTTCCCGGTTATCCCCTTCACTGGTAGAACGCATCCCCGGGGAGGCGCGGTTGGAGAGTTCTCGCGCCGCCTCGTGTGCTGCTTCATTGAGATTGGGAGGGGAATCGTTGATTTGCCCAAGGTGAGCTGGGAACACTCTCAGAAGATGATGCGTTATGTTCTTGCCTTGCAGTATTCTCAGCGTTTGTTCAGTGACCGTCCCCTTGGCGAACGCCCGTAGTGCTGCCATGGAATCACTGTAGGCGACTTCAATGTTATGCATCTTGAGTGCTAAGGCGATGGCCACCTGTTCCGCAATGATTGGGTCTTTCGTCTTGACCGTCGCTGAGTTGACGACATGGCCAGCCCCATCGACCACCACTGCCACAAACGCTTTACGGTTCCCATTGGCGTAGGAAGCCGCGTCAACAAATACAACCCCTCGTTCCTCGTTTGAGACTTGACGAAGTAAAGTCCTGGCCCTCGCTACTCTTCTTCCGACGTTGTGTTCTGGATGCATGTTTCCTGGTATAGGAGACACCGTGATATTCTCCCTGATGTTGTCGGGGATATCATTGTAATTGTGCCTGATTGCCATTGCGTGTTGGCCCAGCTCCTGCAGGATCATTCTCCCCGACCTTGTTGTAGATAACCTCGCAAACTGTGCTCTCTCTTGGGCTTCTGCTATTTCTTCGAGCGTGTTGTGAATGCCAAGCTCAAGCAGACGCTCGGTGCTGGTATGTATGGGTAAGCCCAGGACCTTCTAGATAACTTTCCTGAGGAGCACATTCAGTGTCTCGGACTCTGTTCTTGACCAGTTGTGCATTGCTGCCTGGTACGTGAAGTGGCTTAGAAGAAACGCATGCATCAACCTGATCAGGTTGTCTTCCTTGATCCCATTTCTTTTGTTGGCCACTCTGCGTATTAGGCGCACCGCACTGTCTGTTTTCCAAGTTAACTTGGCTATAAAATTGGTGTTGCCGCCGGTAGACTCTATCAGCATGCCCAGGACTTTGTTGGAGTCGACCCTCAGGATGGCATCCCCTTGATTTGTATGGAGGTGGATGTCCATCTGGTTTAACGGCTTCCATGCCCTGGGCTTCGGTTCCCGGCGTGCATCGCAATTTCATTGAACGTTGTCATTCGGTCCTCCACCTCTCACACATTTGGAAATTCTAGCGAGGGATCAACATTAGTCGTAGCCCGGAAAGTGAGTCCTCGAGCTACGTTGATGACACAGTCAAGGCGCCAATACATTTCAAGTGACGCGGTGCACGTACTCGCCGGCGTTCCTTGTGTCATGTCACGCCGGCGTTGCCACGCTAGGCGCCGTTCCTGCCATATACTCGCAGGGGCATGCTGTGCTGTGTTGCTTTGACGCATGCGCGTTTCAGCGCTTCTGGCGTTCCCCCGTCACGAAACGAGGGAGACGCATTGTTGTCTCGGTAACGCCTCGGTGCGAAACCCAGCATGTCGCCTTTCGCGCTGGTTGCCGTAGGGTCGCGCCGACGGACGCTGGTCGCGCCTGGCTTCAGACTACAGGTGGTGGTGGTGGTAAAAACATTTATTTCAGAAAAAGTCTACTAGAGAGTGCCGACGTGGCCCATCGGCGTGCTAGAGTGGCAAGACCCTATTCCGGGACGCCAGTGGAGTGGGAAGCTGCCCGTGCGCGCTCCACCAAGGAGCGTTGTGCAGCCAAGGTAGAGCAGCCGAACAGGTGCTCCTCCCAAGCCTCTCTAGTTGGGATAGGAAAAGGGGATGAGAAAGAGACGGGATTAACTGGGAATGATGCTACGACGTGATATGTGTCGGCGAGGACATGACAGGTCGAGCAGGTGCCATTGATTTCCAGCAAAAAGTGCCTGGCGACCGCCGGACTGATAAAGGTGTTCGTCTGCAGGCGGCGTAGCAGTCGTTCGTCCGC